GGGGGGGGGAATCCACATTTAAGGCTTTTAAAATGAGAATTCAAATGAGGTCTGTAGAAGATGGTGTAAGCAAAATAAGGCTTCCAGTCTAGCTTAGGTAAATATGAATTGTTGGATTCAAAGCTTTTGTTGTGTCAGGACACTGCTGGCTCTGGCAAGCTTACTGTCACAGTTGCTCATAGCCTATTTATAATTATACATATAAGTAATAACGTGCTTTAATGAGTATACCTAAATACAGGCTGATGTAAGCCACATATCTCGTGAACTCTCACTCCAAAGTACCTATTAAAATAATTTATGTGCTTTGTAAAAGAATTGAAGAACCAAAATGTTCAGGCTACATGTATTCTATAAAGCCAAATGGTCGGAACTTCAGAAGTGTAGGAAGGGTTATAGTATGACCTGGTAGTACTGGTCTGTGGTGGTTTAGGATAATAGAGCCTTTGAAATACTGGCGCTTCATTTTATCACATCTGTTGGCTGTTTATGTAAGCACGTCACCCAGCTCCTCAGAGGCTCTGAAAAACAGAAGAGACTGCCCCACCTAAATGGTGTATTTAAGCATCTAAAATATGATTTAGAGAGACTTTCGGTGTCTGGATCCAAGAATGCAATGTACAGAAGCCCTGCCTAGCTATTTATAAGTCTTTCACCTGGAGTCACAAACTAGATGTCCATATTCCTCTGCACCCTCACAAATAACCTGTAAAATGAGGTTGCCCAAATCCAGATAATTGTATGGTTAATGCTGGCTGCATCATTGACATCGCAGAACTGAATAGCTGAAAGCCTGACTGTATGTCTTCAAGTTTACATAGAGGATCTTTTTCATCAAAGTTTAGTCTCTGGCTTGATTGTTTTTACCGTGTCAGTGCCATAACTAAGTGGAATGGTTACCAGTATCTTTCACAGGACGCTAATATTACATTAACTTGACTTTCTAAAATAGTATGAGGCAAATGACATTCATAAATTTACTATATTTGAGAATCATTTCTCATTAAACTTTTTACTTCTCGTGCTGTTGCACTGCAGTTGCAGAGCAGAGTTATGAGGGGGTTTTTGTGATCGTTGTTGTTGCCTTTCTAAAGTGAAAAGTTTTTAAGACCGTTAACAGACATTTAGTTAGGTTTTACAGGTTGGAAAGCAATCTTGGAAATTGTCTGGATAGAAACATACCTTTCTCAGATTTCTAATTTTTAAGTTCATGCATTGAACCTGACTCTGAGCAGACCTTACTATTTGCTTCAGATTGTTATGAATGGATTTTTTTTTTTTTTTAAATTGCACTGAGGGACTGGAAATGAGAGAGAATAGAGCAGCACATAAGAAGGTGCAAAGGGATGCCTTTACCCCATCCTTTGTTCCATGTGTATGCTTTTTTAAAAACTCTTCCTGTATACTCCCTTAATATGCAAAATCTTACCAGTAATAACTTTGTCCTAGCTTGAACGCATGGATCTAAACTCAGTTTAGTTGTATCTTCTTCTCAGCACATCTAACCTGGTTTGAGTGTGCCCATAGTGTTTTTGCTCTACTGTGACTGATTGCTCCTGAATACATTAGAAACATTTTCTAGGTATAAATAAATGAGAACTTGTGACTTCTTTGAAATGACATGCAGAGACCTCTGTCACCTGCGAGAGGGCTGTCTCAGATGCAGCGTAGGCACACTGTGGGTGCAGGGCCAGCTAAGGTACTGCAGGGCCTCTTAGTGAAGGTGCAGGGCTATGTGTGCATGTGGCTGTGCTTTCAAAGCCAGATTTATTCTGAACATTTTGCTTTGTACACTTAAGTTCATAGGTAGATCTGGTGTGCCTGTTGTCCTCTGCCCTCCTGGTTCCAGGTGGCCAGTGCAGAGACTTCCAAGCAGTTCTGAGGAGACCTCTAAAGCCAGCAATACCTGCTGGACTGGAGACAGCTTCATGCAAAGCCTCTGATTTGTCTGCACTCCCCTGCAGAGCTCCAGAGGCCGAGAGCGCGTTGCAGGGGCTTGGCCTCTCCACATGCTCATGCAGGAGCTGCAGCTAGGCTGGTAAGCCTGCCTGGCATCTGGGGTGTACCCCTCGCAGAAACAGATCCCAAATCTGTGCGGGGGCCAGCCAGCCTGGCTCCAGACTTAACCCTTCTGGCCACACAAACCTGACCAGGTCCTGACACGCATTATCCAGAATACCAGTGTACTGTGTTCTGCCATTACCCTGAATGACAGTGAGTTGACTGTACAGGTGTTGAACTTAGAAGAAACACAGGACACAGCCTGAGTTTTGTCTCTGTGCAGAGATATGCATAGTAATATTATGAACAGTTTAACAAATGATACCTTAACTTCTAGTGTTTTTAAAGAAATCTTGATGTTGCCTTGGTTATTTTGGTAGGGTGATGGACAAATCAAGGTCCGCAGCCATTAAGAGTGGCATCATATATAAGTGGAAAAAGCTTTATTGTTATTTATTATTATTTATTATTTATTATTATTATACTTTTTAATTTAGCTACAGCTGTTGAACATGAAAGTGTATGTTGTTTGTTCATGGCACATTTGTTACCTGAAGGTCTCTGGCACTATAAGGGGGAGGGGAGAAAAGATCCTTGTTTTGACTGGAAAATGCCTGTTCTTTCCAGCTATGCAGGTGTTAACATTGTTTTATGTCTTCTGCTTCAGTGTGCCTCCTCCATCAGCTTCAAGTAAGATTTTCAAATTTGTCATAAAAGCAACAGTTTTTGGACTGATGGGATATGGCTGCTACCGAATAGGTCAAAGGACAGTTCAGTTTATTCTCTCGATGCCAGCAGCACAGAGCTATCTTCAGAAGCTGACAGAAATACGGTCTCAGCATTGAACACCGAGTGGAGGCACTATGTGAAGAAGAAGGTGGCTGAAAAAGGGTGATAGAGGCAACAAACGTGAACTGGACTGAAAGAAGAGTGAGATGAAAAATCTAGTCAGATCGATGCTGAGCAACACTGAATCACTGTATAATAAAAGATTTGATACTAAAGTTACACCAGCTATGATCTAATGAATAGGTTTGATTCTTGGGGAGTGTGTTGCATGAAACCACATGATTCCAGATTGAGGTAAAAGAAATATGTATGCAAAAATATATATTATATATACACATACTGTCTGTATATATAATATATATTACAGATTATGTAGTACAGACGGCTTAAGCTGAGTGTATGTTCATGACTTCTTTACCAGAGGAACAGAACAACACAAAGTAACCTAATTGGCTGCATCTGCTTTGAAGTTCAGGGACACTTGTCTTGAGTGATTCTTTGCTTTTTTTCCTTGGGTATAATAATACCTAGTGGTCATTTCTGGTGCCAGAAACTTTTACACGATTTAGAAGGACATCTTCTCAATGTGTGTTTTATACTTAAAACATTTAGGCTTTTTTAAACTTGAGCTTTCCAAAAATTTCAGAATTGTACAGGCTGTCATACGTACACTGCTCAAATTTTTTACAAGCCTTACTGAAGAACAGGAACGTTGCCTTTAGATTGCATCCCTTGTTACCACCACCAGTTGAATTGTCATTCTCCTGCATAGAGAAAGTATAGCCACACCATCAGAATGCAATGTGGTTTGTGTCAGATGTTTACAGGACGTTCTGTTCCTTTAGATTAGCTTATTTAAACTGTATTATTTAGCCAAATCCTGCTGGATTCAGTATTGTAAATTTAAGAGACTAGAACTACTGTACAATTTACTTTGTTGGACCTTTCATTATTGGGACAAGAAGTCTGGAATTGATAGTACCTGCCCCTCATTTTTGATACATGAAAATATTTTATTTATCAATGTAATTTCTCAGTGGATGAATGTTTTAATCTATTTAATAGAAAAACAGTGTTCAGTTTAGCTGTTCAAACTAGCATTTTATTTGGATTACTTGCTATTTATACATAGAATTATGGGTACTTCAAACTGCTGTGGTTTTCTTTCTTAATTATCCAGGACAGCCATCCATCATCGATTTTTGGTTTTGTTTTTTTGGGGTTTTTTGAATCACAGGTTCATACTTCATTTGCATTTCTTTTGGTAACCTTTATACAGGATTGTCAATGATTGTAAAGTACCCTCTGCAATCAGCTAGTCCCAGTTCAACAACACAAATAACTGTAACTGTCATATCAAAGTTAGCCTGATGTATTTGAATTGAAGAGTCCCATTTGCTCCTCAGGCTCATATGCTTCAAGTGAAGTTTTCATCTGTATTAATTTCTTTTGGGAGTGAAAGATAGGAACCAGTGTGTGAGGCAGGAGGAGGAAAAGGTGATATGTGTTGTGTGTGGTGTTTTCAGTTGGTTCAGTAAAATCAACAAACTGCTTTTAGTAGGGTGTATTTCCAAAGCCTTGTGTTGGAAATCATCCCATACAATCTGTTTGCTGCAAGTATGTACATGGATCTTCTGTGCAGTGTTGGCTTTCAAGGTTTTTTTAATGAAATTGAGGGTCTAATGCTCTTTGCTGTGATGGCATTGACTTTGCTGGGAGTTGGTCTGTCCGTGCACCCCGATGCTTTACTGCCTTGCACTTCGAAAACGTTTTGAGTCCCAGTGCAGCAAATCATTTAAGTGTATGTTTATCTTTAAATCTATTAAATCTAACGTGATCCTGCAGAGCTCTTAAGATGATGCTTGGTGCTTTTCTGGATCTGGGCCTTAGAGTTGTGCAGGGAATAAGCCTTAGGAAATGAGAATGGCAACAATTCACACTTCTTTGACACAAAGTGTAAATGATAACACAGAATACAGTGGAGGCGGGTCCTTTTATTTTCCATCTATCAGTGCTTAACAAACCACCAGCCACCTCTAGCAAGAGGAAATGCAGCATTTGTAAACAATGTATAGAAGACTAGATTGACTGCCTGAATTTTGATTCCTGATACTTTTTTTTAAAAGGTTTAATGTATTGTTTACAATTAAGCAGTCCTATTTGAATAATTCTATTACATTTTATGTATGTATTTAAAATATGAAAGCAAAAGCTTAAGATCATTCTTCTCCCGGCTTTACTGACCTACCAAAATGTTTTGTTCGTTGTTTTTTTGAGAATTTTTTAGCTGGTAGAATTCAATATATTGATGTTTTGCTTTAAGTTATCTACAGATTTTTAAGGTATCTGAGATATTTTAAAAGCTCTGTAGATCTTTGATATCTGCGCTCAGGTAATTTTACACAAAGGAAAACAAATCTAAGGTAAATTTTAGATATGAGCCTTAAACTTGGGTGGGACTAATGCTAAATGATTGTCATGGAGCATTTTTGCAGACTTAATGTTTCATGCTTCTTAGCTAGAAGTGATTACTGTGTAAGTTGTCTGTTCATTATTCAGTTATTCTCTCCAGTCAATACCTTAAGTCTATTGCTTCACTCTTTTTCTTTTCTTTTTTTCTTTTTTTTTTTTTTTTTTTTTTTTATTTTACAAAGCATATCAGCAGATTCTTCAAGGAGCCTGTTTGTGGATGGAGAATTTGCAATTTATTTTCCCACTGTTGCAAACTGGCAGATCGTACGCATGCACTGTTTACTCAGTAGCACTGGAAAGTCTGATGAATTTGCAGACCTAACAATCCTATGAATCCATACATAAATGCTCAGTGTTGTATATTCAATGTGTTGTGCTGTTTATGTAATATAATCAGTGGTTTAGGTCCATTCTGTTCTAGTCAGTCCTTTCAGTGTTAACAGCATCCTGTAAAATTTAAATATATGTTGAATTGTCTCAGCCCCACCTCAACCTTATGAAGCCATATTGTATTTTTTTGGTGACATGTACATCTGTTTTATGCATTTGTACATGTGATGTAAATTTGAAGTATTTTTAACAATGTGTGCCTTTATTCTAAAGTGATTTAAAGTAAACAGCAGTATGTTCTATGATATAAAAAATAAAGTATTTTAACCACCATTTCTGTTGAAGGCATTTATTTTCCTCATAAATCAGTATTTTTATTGAGTACAAACACCGGTTAGCTAGATCTAGTACATTATAATGTCACCATCTAATACATTTTTCTGAACAAGGAGGTCAGTTGGAATAAATACCTCCTACTGAGGGGCATCTGAGTGTAGTGCTGAAGGAGGGAAACTAGTTTACCTACCATATGTAAATTAGTTGAGAGGAAAGGATGAGTTTCCCTGCCCTACTGAATGTGCAGGGAGACTGACTTCTTAACGTGAGTACTTAACTCACCATGCCTAACTCTGAATTTGATTTAATTGTCGTTGCTTTTCTTTTAATGTTTCTCTAGTGCTCGGTCTTGCAAGGAGCTGATGGCCTTAGTCCCAGTCCAGCAAAGTGCTCAAACACTGGCCTAACATCAGGCATAGTCGCTTATTCTTAAAGTACCATCCTCTGCATGGGAATTAAAGACCCTTTAAGTGGAAAAGGTGCCCGGTTAGTGGCAAAAAGAGTTTATTCTTTCAGATTGAGTCAGGTAAATCAATATGATCATTACTTTAAAAAAAATCTCTAAAAGACCCTGTGTTCATACTGAAAGTAAGTAAATATATGATAAGCTGTATTCCATACAGATAATATACCAGCTGAATAGTCTGCTGATTATACCCTTCATCAAGCAGTGGTACAAATGTGAAACAAAGTGCAGTCCTGTTTTCCTTGATCAGGCAAAGTTCCCTTTAGTTGCACTTGCAGCTGTGTCTGCAAAGAAGTGCTGGGTAAGCCATGCAGGTGGGGAGAAAAAATTAATATTGTTAAATACTGTCCATGGGACTGGCAGATGACATGCTGCACAGCACGTGAACTATTAAGTACTGCTCAGTCAGGCAGCCTCAGTTTGCACATCCATGCCTACAGAAGGCAGCTGCCTGCTTTTAGAGTGTGTTGTTCACTAGTGTTACATGCATACTGCTGGCCTAGGTCATGTTTATGATGTCTTTTCTATACTGAATACTGAACCAAATTAAATTATTTTTGAGGTGGATTAATATTGCCCATATTTCCACTGGAAGCTGTTTTTCTGTGTGTGTATTGTAAACCTCTAAAGGGCACTGAAAAATATACCAAGTTGTCTCAAAGTGCCAGGCAGTAGTGGGAACTACACATGGAAAAGAAACCACACACTGTCACTTGTGTAACTCTAAGATATTCATGTATGTATTTTCCTGTTTCTTTCTAAAACTGAAATAAATTTAATTTTAGACTTGAGTGTTTGAGACTGATTTTGTTGCAAGATTTGGGGTTCTTAAGTATTTGCAGGAGAAAGGTCACTTTTCTGGATCTGACTGATGGACAGACTTTGGTGTGGTACTGAGTCCTTTCAGTGGGCTGTGGAAATGTGCGTGGAAGACAACCACAGGACACAAGTAGCTCTAAAGATACAAAGCCAAAAATCAATTTACTTAACTGTTCAGGTGAAAAAAGATTCAGCTGCTGTGCATATACCTACAGAAGCAGTCTTCTGTGTCAGTTGGTATGTGAAGGGGAACAGGGAATAACTCAAGCAGCTGTCCTGTTCAGCAGGTCCTAGCTCAAGAGGCTGGCAGGGGGTGGGTTGTCTAATTATCCCCTCCTGTGTTGTTTGCATGCTGCAGTCTCACCAAAAAGGAGCAAATGAAGCTTTCTATACTCCAGGGAGGCATCAGCAGCAAAGATGGGCATGGGCTGATCCTTAATCCCAGTAGAGAGAAGGATGGCAGCTGAGGGTGTGCATGCTCTTTTCCAAGACCTTGCCCTTGGGTCCTGCCACTTGGCTCTGGCTCCTTGGGTAGCTCTGTGCCACCCAAGGGGTAAAATGTGAGGAAATGCTCATTTTTACTTGTTCAATGTTTTAGTCTGTTGGTTCATTTCATACTGTACAGGGAAGCTCTAGTGGTGTTTGAGGAGAGAAAAGATGCACACTACCACTTTCACACTTGCCTCATCCAAGATACTTGGTGCTGATGCATCAAAACTGATGCATGAGGGAAAGTAGAAAGAACAGGACTTAATCAGACTTCTTTTTTTAAAAAAAGACACTTCCAGTAGGTTGTGTCACCTCCCAGCTAAGTAATATTCTGTCAGTGGTAAAAGGTCCCTGCTTTTAGCTACAGTGATGATTAACAAACTGAATTGAGTGATGTTTTGATTAGACTGTGGTGGTTATTAATGCCCCGTGTCTCTGCAGCAACTGAACTGCACACCTGCTATCTTCAAGGCCAGCTGGAGGAGCTGTACAGTTGCTAGAGCTGTGTGCAGCAGAGGCTGGCAGGACTCCTCAGTACTTTACCTTTGAGTGAGTACAGCAGGTTTCTAGGGGTGCACCACCTGCCAGCTGGCATCTTCTCACCACCTCCCTGCATCTCCCTCCCTGATTCCATCCACGTGTTGTCTCTTGCCTCATGATTACAGCCAGAGTTCTTTGGAGCCCAGACCCAGTGTTGTGATTTTAGTTTGCCTTGATTCAGCTGGAACTTGCGAGTAACAGTAATAATTTAGTGCCATCTACCGACTGCAGATAGTTTACCTGGTATGCCCATTTTTAAGTGGAGGTGCCTACTGGACTCTGAGGCTATTCTTCAGAGAAGTGTGCATACCTTGGAGAGTTTTGGTTTTGAGTCAGTGATGTGGTACCTGGTATTAACTGAAACAACACAAAACAGGAGCATCCTGAACAATTACTGACTTGTAGTATACACTCATTTCTCCTTGTGATTGTATTGATGCTTAAGAGGCAGATTCTTGATGAATTGACAATAACATACTAACCTTTACTTAAGAAATTAAGTATCTGCTAAAAAACATGAGTATGTTGCTTCTAGGATACTTTAAAGAAAATACAGAATTACACAGCTAGAGAAGATAATTATTACACCTTAATTTTACTCTTTTGTACAAATCATGGTTTTACAACAATTGAAATTAGCATGGATTGCATTGTTCGTAACATTTCAAGGACAGACTTAATTTGATCATGCAAGACCCAACCTCAGCAGACTTTTACCCCCATTATTCTGAAAGTTTAGCATAATTTTGTTTGTTGTGCTTGATAGGCTGCTGCTCTTCTAAGGCAGCTGGAGACTGTGGGCTTCTCACCCAAAGCCATGTTTACGGTGACCACTCTGGCAGGCTCTTGGTGCTGCTCTTTAACGTGGGACAGAGTGGGAGGACTTGGGGAACCAACAGTAGCCTTGACTGTTCATCGCAGTTATGAGCAGTTTCTACCAGGCCACTACATACATGGATTTCTGCCTCTCTGACTGTGCACAGGCAGATCAATAATGGTACTCCTGGGCATGTGGTGGTCAGACCTTGTCCTACACTTGCTCTCTGCAACGCCCAGGCCTGTTAGAGGAAGGCTTGTGGCAGGCAGCACTCCCACAGCATAGACCACAACTCTGTGACTGTGCGGAGGTATGGCTCCCCTCTTCAGACCAGTTACCAGAGACATAACTGAGGCACACTGTTTATTGACTGGTGAACACACTATGAGGAAGCTAGAAAAACAGAATAATAATCAATAACCTAAGTACCATACCACTGATCGAGTTACATACTTATGCAAACCATAAAGCACAGCTATGAAGTTACAAGTGATTGATCTCAGATCTAATGAGTCTCACACATGGCCAACCCTCAGTGAGAGTTTTGTAAGTCCCAAGGAGAAGGTTCTTCCCCACACACCACGACATACTGCCAGAGACCTGATGGGGCGAGTCCAACAGGTTATCCCAGGCGATGCCTTCCAGGGCTAGTCTGCAGACCAGTGTTGCTACCAGCTGGAGGCATCCACACTCCTACCATCAGCAGGAGCCCTCTGGTCTTCCTCCGTGGACTTCATCCTTTATTCTTTGGCATCAGGGCCTACCTTTTAGCCACCTCTCCTCCACCCAAATAAACAACCTGCCCCATTACTTCCTTCCACTTGGTCCTGGTTTTACTACAGCCATACCTAACTGTGGTATTTCTGATGCCATTACCCAGGCAGTCACAGCCTTATGTGGTGTTACTAGCAGGGATACCCAGTGTCAGCAGGCTAGCTCCCCACAACTCCCCTGTGGTTGTCCCATCAGGTTTACCTTCTGCAATTACCACACAACTATTGCATATTAGCCTCGATCCCAGTGCAAGATGACAGTTTATGTAGCAGAGAGCAGCAGCAGAGGTACCTGTTACCCTTCTGCCAGCACTGCTGAGGCCTCAGCTCTATGGGGCTGCATTACTCCAGCAGGACCTCTCACTCACAAGCCACCTCCTGGTCTGCCCAACCTCCTCCAAGGACATTCAGACCACTCTGGGTGCCCATAAGCTCAATCCCTTCCAGCTGGAAGCCACCACAACTGTTAGGCTAATGACACACGCAATATGTTCAACTGGGCACATGAGCACACTTTTTCCTTTTGAAACAAGCAAAGCACATATAGAAGAATAAAGAACAACATGACTTCTATCATAATTAATAACAAATACAGGATTAAGTGCTGCATAACAGTAGCTTTTGGAAACCAACCCATGTACATGTCATACCAACAATGTATGGTTCACAATTTCAGTCTCTGGTTCTGACAGTTCCTTACTTGCCAAGGTGGTCCTCAGGCTTGCAACTTGTTGGGTCTCTGGTTTCTTGTCTCCCTTCTGTATGCTGTCATGCTGTTCGAACACCTCATCCCAGCAAGGCCTCTCAGCTCCCAGACATCATTACTCCTTTGGTCTGGAATAACACCCTGCTTTTGAGAACAGGCAAACAAATGTACACCATCAACAGATCTAATGCCACATCTTTGATCTTCTCCTGGAGCCACTGATGTCGTGGTATCATCCACTCTCCCATTACAGGTGCAGTGACGCATACACAGCCTGCACTGTTACCAACCACCGCTGGCCTTCCCATGCCAACTTGCTCCACTGACACACAATATCTTCCTGTGGTCCACAACTGATTGTGCAGAACTAGTACATATTTTTCATTTAGTTGTCCGTTTGCAACAGCAGCTGGTGAAACATCCATTGTAATACAGGATCTTTGTTGTATACACTCTGTTCTCATGGGTAGTACATCTGAAAAAAGCTCTTTTAATAGCTAATTGAGTTTGAGTACAACAGAGATATTATTGAATTTAATCCCTTAAAGCTTGTTGTTTAGTTTTTTTAACTTGGCAGTTGCTTCTACCATGTGCCACATTTGGTAGTTATCACTATTGTTGTATCACTCAACAGTCTGAAGTTTTGTTACCCATTTACCTTGTATGTGACTCAAAATTGCTGCCATTTTCATAGAATGAATCACAGAATGATTGAGGTTGGAAGGGACCTCTTGAAATTATCTAGTTCAACCTCCTGCTCAAAGAGGGTCACCTAGAGCCAGTTGCCCAGGATTGTCTCCAGATAGCTTTTCAGTATCTCTTAGGATGGAGATTTTACAATCATAAGAGGAACAACCCATGTACATATATATGGGTCACACTCTGGATATATTCTAGAACAGTTCATACCTCACATATCAGTTCCCCACCTCTTTCCCCATCTTAAGGATTAATATGGTGTACTGGGTCTGGCTGAACTGGAATTGGTTTTCCCCTACAGCAGCCCTGACGGTGCTGTGTTTTATGTCGGGAGCTGGCAGGGTGTTGATAGCACCCTGGTGTTGTGGCTACTGCTAAGCAGTGCTTACACAGCACCAAGGATCTTTCTGATATTGTCCCCAGTGGGACGGGGTGGGCAAGATCCTGGCAGGGGACACATCCAGGGCAGCTGACCCGAACTGACCAGAGGGATATTCCATACCCTATGACGTCTGCTCAGTATAAAGCTGGGAGAAAGGGGGTGGGATCACCCTTGGTCCTCCGAGGCAACCACTACGTGTATGGGAGCCCTGCATCCTGAGAAGTCCTGACATCACCTGTCCATGGGAAGTAGAGACTAAATCTGTTTGCTTTTGCTTCTGCACGCGGACCTTTGCTTCGCTTTGCTTATATTAAAACTGCTTTTGTTTCACCCACAAGGGTTAGTTTATCTTCTTTCCCCTCTTTACCCTGTTGAGAAAACAAGGGGAAAGGGGATGGGGGAAGTGATAGAGCGACTTGGTGGATACCTGGCATTTAGCCAGAGTCAAACCATCACATATGGATACTGTCCTACAGGGTTTGTGGATGGTGTGATTTTAGTTTTGGATATGCACAGTGGCCAAAACTAAATCTGCACCATCTGAACAATTAA